TATACTGACAAGTCTGTCCAACTTGGCCTACCAAGATTTGAATAAACCCTTTGTCCTTCAAACCAACACATCAAATGAAGGTAAAGGGAGCAGTGCTCTGTCAGCGAATAAACTCTGAATCATTGCAGATGGACTCAGACCTCTCCACCTGCTCAGTAGAATTAACATCCCCATTCCAGCAAGCTGGAATACCTTCCTTTACAGTGGGTTATTTAGGGTAAATTAGGTATTATATCCACTATGCTGGCTTTCTATGCACACTATGCAGTATTTCCCTTATTTACATATTTAGCACTGGAAAGTCAAAGGCCACCAGACATAGCTGGGTGTGGGAGTCGGCTGACGTTTAATTTCACCATAAAGTACAGACCTGGGATGTCTAATGCTGATGCCAACACCTGCTTTAACGTTACCCTGTTCCTCATAAACACCATCTCCATGAGTACACAGATGTTATGCCTCCAGAGATTCTCCAGAGAGTCTCTGCAATCTGGCAGAAGAACAAAGCTGGTGGTGTTCAATGAGTGTCTGCATTAGATTTACACTACAGTGAGGACAGAGTACAACCTAAAGGCATCCCAGTGATAATCCGAGGAAACAGTGATAATCCGAGTGATAATCCAAGGAAATTCCCTACCCAGGGAATGATCCTGCTCTCAGTGAGGTGATAGACCTCAAAAGGAGAGGATAGAGTCCTATACTAAGAGTTAAATGAGTCAAAGACTAAGGCTGAAACAGTTAATCATGATTAATCGATTATTGAAATAATCATAAACTAATTTAGTAATCGACTAATCATTTACTGGAGTTTGGGAGACTGTAAGATATGCCTTTATTCAGCAATTATTCCAGAATTGTAAAAAAATAAAAATAAAAATTTTGCATTTAAGATAAAAAAAAAGCTTTTTCGTCTGTCAGCATGCTCTATCCAGAACTCCTCAAGTGGAATCGGTTTAGTTTCACCTGGTTTAATTTCGTAAAAAGTCTTCTTTAGGAACATTTGGCTATCCAGTTATTAATAGAAATAAAAAATTAACACATTAATTGATTTGCAAAATAATAATTAGTTGCAGCCCTATCAAGGACACACATACATGTGCATGCAACAGACCCATAGAGGTTGTACAGAAAAACGGAGCATAGAAACCAACTATTACCTAATGCACTTGGGCCAACTTTTTTTAAAAACTCTGCATGATGACATAAGGACGTATGGGAGCTGATAAAGTCAGCCAGCTTGGTAGAGAGAGCTTTTATGAGCTCTTTATGCAAAATGACATTATGTCATTCACCAGGATTCATGTAATAGAGAAGGAGCTTGAATAATCCCCAGAGAGCATGAATGGGTTCCATAACAGTCTTGGATATAGTTTTCTTCGCAGCCACCAGACGGATTTTAAACAGATTCCGGTCCTTTCTACGGACAGTTTTCTGCAGGTGCCCCAAATATAACGCAAGACAAGAACAAGGTATCTCATACATCAGTATCTACCACACAGCTGAGCGAATATTGTAAAAGAACAGTTGTATTTCCTCATATCTCGAAAAAATTTGTGTTTGGTCTGAATTTATTATGTTTACAGAGAATCCATCATGATTGTTGGGTTTGTTTTTTTACTGTTAATTTGCAGCGTGATGAAATATTGGATTTGTTTATTCCAGGCAACTTCTTCCAGTTTCTGTGACTCCGTTGCAGCTCGGTGAGCTTCCCTCATATGATGCTAATTCCCTTCTGGGATTTCTTCACCAAAGTCTCGTTCCCCTTTTTCCTTTGACATACAAAGTTGACTCTCCTCTTGAACCCATAGGATGGTTATGCAATACAAAACCCTTGGTATAAGTTTATTGTATGCTGATATAAATGTCTTTATTATTGCATGTATTTTGTCCTAATACTATTTTCATAGCAGTCTTGCATTTGCAAGTGTGTTCCTAAAAGCTTTTCATTTCATCCTGTTAATAATGTGGAATTTAGGGTTATATTATCGGGTTAAAATGCTTTATCCTGAACAATTCACTCTAGTGTTCTATTTTTTTTCCAATGTAAGTCGTTTTATTACAGAGTACCATTTTTCTTCAGTAAATTGAAATTTTCCTTATTTTGTTTGAAGCATCTCATTTTCAAGTTGGGCAAGAGCAGAAAAAACAAGGAGATGTTAACAATACCGTATGTTGAATCTGTGTTTTTATGATGTTAATTAACGCTGGGCTTTTTATTATTTTTATATTATGATAATATTAAGAAGCTTAATAAAAATAATGTTATATATACAAAACAGAGAGATCATCAACAAGGATGAGACAGCAGGTCATCTGTGGTCCAGGTATGGACAGGGTGTCTGCCACGTGGGTCCAGCCAGGTGTCTCGGTGTGGTCGAGGTGTCCGATCTAAACTAGGAGTCAGGTATTGGAACTCTCCTGCTGCAGCATCAGGTCCACGGCAGCCTCCACGTCTTCCACAACATGACTTGGTTCCACTAGAGCCGACTCTAGTTTTAGGTGTTTCTGCCCATGGAATACCATCTCTGAGATGTTCTGGTCACCAGGTAGTGGCGAGTGAGGGTTATACACACCTGTGCACACCTAAGGACAGATACAGGATCATTTTAACCACTTCCTGATTTTAACTGGAACAACGGGATCTTTCTTTCTTCAGTTCTTCAAGTAAAAACAAGAGAAGTTAAAGCATGAGAAATTGATATTATTTAGTGATGTAAAATAATGTAGCAGCTCAGAATATTATACGTATCTTTTCATATTCTAGAACTGTGCTGTGCAAAGGTGGCTGCATGTAGCTGTGCTAGCTGATTCTGATGTATATGTTTAAAAAATGGATTCCTCCATTTCCGGATTAGAGTTGCTTGTTTCTTGTTACATCTGATATGATGCATACCCACACCAACAAGTTTTTGTTTTATTTTTTCTGGGAGTAGCTGATTAGAATCTCAAAAGCCTAACATAATACTTCAAATAAAAGCTCACATCCCAGATGAGTTAAAAATGAGGGGCTGAGAATGCAGAAGCAAGGAGAAGAGAGAAAGAGGAAATTCTAGCCATCTCTTACACCAATTAAAACGAATATGAGGTAAATAACGGGTAAATAATTAGGATGGACTCCCAGCCCAGCAAAGAATCAGTTGGAATTGAGACAGAGTTTTATGACTCACTGATAGATAACTGTAAGATCATTAATTGATTGTTTACAATTTCCTGTGTCTGTATAAAAGCAGCGTTGGAACACATTGTGGTATCATACACTCATGAATATCAGTTGAACAGTGTTATACTGCAGAAAATAGTCTGTTGCTACAAAAAACCGATGGGAAAGATCAATAAACAATAGAGTATTTGGACTGCTTCGATCTAGTTGAGCTGTCTGGGTTAACAGAATTACCTTCATCTAAACCTTTTACTTGTAGGTTAGACCCAATCAGATTCAATTGATTTAAGGAAGTATTCCCTCTGATTTCCTACCCCACTTTTAGATATGACTAATTAATCCCTAATACATGGATATGTATTGCAGATTTTTGTCTTGTATGTACCAGCGATAAAGTTTGACTATATGATCAGGTAGCTGTAATTAACTTTACATAAGGAGCCTTCACTTGATCGAATGACTTCATCGATGATAACCCTTAATTTAACTTTCCTTAATTAGCTACAATTCTTAAGAGAACTTTTGAAAATCAAGTTTGGGAGCAACCGTAATGACCTTTTTGAAGAGTTTCAATCAGGTTGTAGAGTTCAGCAGTGAAACAGCACTGGTGAAAATCACTAATGATGTTCTCATGACCTCAGATAATAGACTTGTCTGTACGTCCTATTACTATTAATTAGGTTACTTATGGAGTAACACAGAAATCAGTGCGAAGGCTAATTCTCTTTATTAGAGACAGACAGACAGACAGACAGACAGACAGACAGACAGACAGACAGACAGACAGACAGACAGACAGATAGATAGATAGATAAAATAAGCAATCAGAATGGGATCCCACTATTATACCAATGATACTATATTTGTCAATAAATCCTGATTAATCTAACCTTTTTACGATAGAATACAGACATTTATTGAACACGTAAAAACCTTTATGGGTTTAAATCTTCTAATTTCGAATTAAAACAAGAAAAATGACATTAAAAAATGTCTCCACCTACCAAGATGGAGCGACACTGAGCTGTAAGTGGCGGTTCTTCCTCGGTCATAATCGCCTGGGTTCCCTGGGCCACCAATTTGTTGCCACCTGTTGTTTCAGTGTGATGCTTGGCCAGGTAGCGATTATAAAGGTTGGCACCGTAGATGTCCGTCATAAGGTTGTCTCTAGATGGAAAGAACAAAGTCCAGTTTCTTAATAAAAAGTAATCAAGATACTGTTGTTAATGGGCTTTAATGAGTCTGTCATGTAAAGCCAGGAGTAATCAATGACCTTTATAATGACAGTGACATTTATTATTGAATTAACTGTTTACAAAATCCTTCAAGGATCTCTAGAGATCATTATACAGAGAATAATCCTTAATTTTAATGTATATAATTATAGACAACCCAGAGCATGGTCTTAATTAGATTGATGTGTGTTAAAGGAATTTGTTTAAATTAATTGGTGTCGCACATTTCAGAGCAGAGTTATGAAGGGCTTTACGGTGTGTACAAAAAAATCAGTTAAGCGTGAATGAAATAAAACATTTTTTGTTGTTGTTGTTTTTTAACAGTGTCCTGTCTGGCAATGTGGCAATAAGAATAAAATTATTGATGCCAAAAAAGGGCCCAACAGATTTTGCTTTCACAAGTGGAGCAGTACGGCTATCGCCATAGTGTTCCGCTTGATTTATGCATATAAATACCTTTATTATGATTATGCAGGGAGTATTACAGATTATATGGACACTGCAATGTAATTAGAACAGGAAAGGAAAAACGGGAAAAAGGAGAAAAGATGAAAGAGGAGATTAAAGGGAGATAAAGATAAAACGTCTTCAATCTGCTTCATCACAAATAAAACAATATACTTAAAAAATCATGCATAGACTTAATTAATGCCCAACCTACAGTAAAAAATTTAAAAAGATCTATAGAAGGTCACTGAAAAAAGTAATTAATGTTAAGTGGTGCAGTGGGTTGCACTGCTGCCTTGCAGTAAGAAGGGTGTGGGTTCGATTTCCAGCCTGGGGTCTTTCTACATGGAGTTTGCATGTTCTCCCTGAGCATGTGTGTATTCTCTCCGGGTACTGAATAAGAAGAACTGAATAAGCCTCTTGGATGAGAGGCCAAATGTCTTTTAGAAAACCATGTCCAGTTGCCTAGATTGAACTTTTTCAAGCTTGACCATGACCTGGATGTCTGAGAATCTTTACAGATATGTTCAGATACTGGAGGCAGGTTCCAGACACTAGCTGTAAGAAGTTTTGCAGATTTATTCTTTACCCAACAGCGTAGATGGTGGACAGCTTGTGGTTTTGGTTCTGCTGACGCAGCAGCTGTTCAGCATACTGGTATGTGATCAGACTGGGTTTTCCCAGCACCGCCTCGTACTCCAGCTCTCGACCCGTCAGCTTCTTGTAGACAGACTCCAGACAAACGAGAAACATCCCATGACCAAACCTGGAGCAACACATTAGATTCATTACTGGTTAAACGCTCTCCAGTTTCCACTTTATTTAAAGTTATGTGGTTGGTGGTTGTTACCGTGGTGATGGAGCGTCAGCCATCCACAACAGGTCCATGTTACAGGCAAGAACAGGCATTTGAGCTGACAGCTGAGTGTCATACGCACAACCTGGTCTACCATTGGTTAGAAGCACATCGATGATCAGCTGCAGGTTGGTCTCCCATCTGACTGGCTCCCCAAACAGGATGATCGCTATGGTAACCATGTAAAGACTGTTTTAGACTCTTCAAATAAACATTAATTTTCTAAGGTGGCATAAGCAAGCTATTCCTCATGCAGCTTCGGACAAACCCTGCCTGCATAGTTCATTCACTTCAGAAACCTTTCATCAAATAGTTGAAGGATTTGTGCACAGAATCATTTTCTCCTCATTTTAACCCAAACAGATCATCTATTCAGCCTTGTCGTCCTACAGAGCTCCTGATCGTTAACCTTGTTAGAAATTGTCACATGGTTCATTTTCTCTATCCCAGTGCCATGTGCACTATATTTTCTGATCAGGAATCAGTGTGTGAAGAAAGTTCTTTTAGGTTTTCTGAGGTGGCTGAAATGAATAATATGAGGGAATTAAATGTGACACATTGTGGTTATAGTACCTTGTATCTGAGGAAGGATCTGTGAAGAACAGGGCTGAAACAAACACAGTAAGAAATATAAATCAGTAAGTTTAATCATAAACAGCAAGCACAGCTCCTCTATGTATGCAAGTAATCAGTGAAAACTACACTTTAAGTAGAACTCCAAAATTGAACAATCAATTTAAATTAAACTTACAATGTCTGTTGGTAAATGTCACAGATAATTTTAAGTTTTTAAAAGACATTCAATATGATATTAGTAGAAGCTTCCCCTTTAAGTGCGTTAAAGGGCCTGTGATATTTTAAATAATTTTCTTTTAGCAATTACTTCACCAAAATCACGCAAAAATTGGGATTTTTCCTAAATTAATACATTTCTAATCCTAATCCCTAACCCTAATCGCAGTGAGAGACATCATGAAAAGGGCAGCACCCAAACGCTGCTATGATTTACTTTTCATAGATGTAGTATTTTCCTCTGCTGTCCAGTCTTTTTTATTGTTTTCTAGTCTTATGTGAATCTGTATGCTTTCATTTGCCACTGACACACCTGAATTTACCAACTGAGGGACAAGACAGGCTATGCTATTCCACTCAGACTCAGGTTGACTGATTCTGTAAAATGTAACTTATTTAGTTTTCAACGTTTGTTTATCAGAATGCATCTAATGAAAGAAACAGACAGATGAAATACAAGAATATAGTGCAGTGGCGGTTCTAGACCAAATGTACCAGGGGGCCATGAGGGGGCCAGCATGTTTTAATGGGGGGACAGAAAAGCATGAAATAAAAAGAAAAATTATATAAAAGATATATTAAGAAAGCTGCATGAAGTGAAATTTCTATTCAATTAGGTTTAATTAAAATTCTATTTCTTGTTAGGTCAATATACATTCATAATTTTACATATTTTTGGTTTAATTTAAGTTAAGATTACAATTGTCTCTAAAATCTGAATTAGAACTCAAGAAAAACTGTTAAATTCAGCTGTAAAAATTAGAGCAATTTGTTTTGAAAAAAACATTTAGCAGATGAAAACTGGGATCCTATCTCAATACCACTGAAGCTATCAGCCTATTGTTTTTAAGTAATTAGTAAAACAGAATTTGTAAAGAAAAAAAGGAAATAGATCCAAAGGAGCTATCAGTAACCATGTCTGTTCCAGCGCAGATCATCATTAGAGCTTCTTTGAGTATTATGGCTTCAGTACAGGGGCCATGATGGTGGCCAGGACATGATCTACAGGGGCACTGGCCCCCGTTGGCCCCTGTCTAGAACCGGCCATGATATAGTGGTGATTCTGGAGGTTCCAACTAGTTAGACAACCTAAAGGGATGTCATGCAAACTTGAGCAACTAGGTGGCAGCATATACCACTGACTGTCGCTTTGATAAAGTATTTTAAATATTTAGGCGATACTAATGAAAATTTTACTTTAGGGCATTAAACATCAGCAAAGAGATTTAGAAAAAAACAACTTTTGAATCAGGACATAGTTTCAAAGAACTGATCTGATTGGTCAAGACTCACTGTGTGTGTAGGTCTCCTGCTGTGGTCTACCATGTCCAGCAGAGGGTGCTGTTCTGAAAGCTGCTCGATGGTTATTACATTCTGGAAGCCCAGGCTGAGAAATACTGGGTCAGGGTCCAAAACATGAGGCAAAACCATCTGATAGGGAAACATCTTCATGCTTTCATCTGCATTGTTTTGAGCCATGTGTTTCTTTGCAAAGCTTCTAACAGTTTTAGTTTCAAATCACTTTAGGTTCCGTCGTGAGTTTCTGACAAATAATAGAAAGATGGCTGAATATGTAAGGTGACAGGTGACCTGACCTGTAAGAGTTGCCAGTGAAGGATACGTGTGGGCAATCTGGGTCACTGGTCCCTGCCCCGACACCAGTACACACTTATTGTGGAAACTCTCCATCATGTGCAGAGGACTGTGTGACAGAACCACCTGCTCAGGTCTAATCTGCAAAGAAAGCAGAGAACTTGTTCTGATCCAGTCTCATGACACCAACAACATGAACTCTGTGTCACTGGAAGCAAGTCATAAAATCTCTCGTTCTACCTGCATGTCCAGCTTGTTGGACAGCTGCTGTGCCTTGTGGTGTCTCGTGCAGCTTCCTGCGTTGGTGACGAAAACAACAGGAAACATGAACTTATTGTTTCTGTCCACAAGTTTCCGGAGAGCTCGCTGGGCCGCTGGGATCACCGTCCCACCGCGGAGGAGGACACCATCAACGTCAAAGAGGACGCCAGCCTGGTGGACAGGTGAACGACAGGTGATGTGGGGAGATTTGCTTTGAGATACTGATTTGGAATAAACTGGACTGATTGATGGATGATGATGATGGTGATGATGATGACTGGTAACTACAGTTGAGATTCTCAGTTTAATCCTGTAACAAATGGACTAAATCTGCACGGGGTCCTGTACTGGTCCAGACATTCTGTCTGTCCTCACAAAGGACTGTCAGGCCAACAGAATAGAAAGAAAGAAAGAAAGAAAGAAAGAAAGAAAGAAAGAAAGAAAGAAAGAAAGAAAGAAAGAAAGAAAGAAAGAAAGATTGATTGATTTCCATCTCACTGACCTGCCTGATGTTGGACGCGTGGCGGACAGCCTGCTGCAGGAGACCTCGACTCCACATGATGCTTGTCTGGCCCTCAGACCGTCTTCTGCTTCTTTATAACTACAGGGCTCTGAGGTCATAGCAGGGGGGGTGGGGGTTGGCTGAATAACTGATATGAATCTGGCTAGCTGCTATTGGATCAGTACCTCCGACCAACACGTTCCTATTCATTCTATTGGTGTAGATTCTACAGTAAATCTACAGCAGGTTAAGCAGAACTTTTTGAACAGGACCTTGAGACTAACCTTGAACCTGGCTCTTGTTTATTTTCCGATCAGCTCCATTTTAACAACCAAACCCAACATATTTGAGTCAGATCAGTTACAAACTGGACTGAAATCCTGCACCTTTTAGATGTGTCTCAGCTTGAATAAACTGGAATCAAATAATCAGGCCATTAGTAGAACTCTGGTGAACTTTATGCTGTGGAATCCAGCCATTTGGTTCAGGAGTGGATGCAGAGACACAACTAAAGCCTGCCAGACAACTGACCTCAAGGGCCAGACTAGAGAAAGCCATCAGTAGACCCTAGCATTGTTCCTCTGCTTCCTGGTAACTTTCCTCAGATACAGACAAAGGTTCCTGTAGTTTAGACCTAGGATTTTCTGGGTCCCTGTGATGTTCTTCAGCTTCAGAGCAATGTTTATCTGGTTCCCAGTGATGTTCGTTTGGTTTAGACCAGTATTCCACTGGTTCTAAGCAACATTTATCCATTTCAATCCAAGGTTCCATTAGTTCCGGGGAATATTTCTCCGGTACAGTCTGGAGTTCTTCTGGTTCCCAGTGATGTTTCTCTGGTTCAGGGTGATGTTCCACTGGTTCCCAGTGTTGATCCACTGGTTCCCAGCGATGTTCCACTGGTTCACAATGATGTTCCACTGGTTCCCAGTGATGTTCCACTGGTTCCCAGCGATGTTCCACTGGTTCTCAACGATTTTCCACTGGTTCTCAACGATGTTCCACTGGTTCTCAGGACCTTCCACTGGTTCCTAGCGATGTTCGTCTGGTTCAGATTGATGTTCTACTGGTTCCCAGCAATGTTCCACTGGTTCCCAGCGATGTTCCTCTTGTACAGATGGACATTCCACTGGTTCCCAGCGATGTTCCTCTGGTTCAGATGGACATTCCACTGGTTCCCAGCGATGTTCCTCTGGTTCGGATTGATGTTCTACTGGTTCCCAGCAATGTTCCGTGGTTCCCAGCGATGTTCCTCTGGATCAGATTGATGTTCTACTGGATCACAGCAATGTTCCACTGGTTCCCAGCAATGTTCCTCTGGTTCAGATTGATGTTCTACTGGATCCCAGCAATGTTCCACTGGTTCCCAGCGATGTTCCTCTGGTTCAGATTGATGTTTCTCTGGTTCCCAGCAATGTTCCACTGGTTCCCAGCGATGTTCCTCTGATTCAGCCCGAGATTCTCATGGTTCCTTGCGGTATTGCTCTTGTCCAAATTGAGGTTCCTTTGGTTCCCAGTGATGCTCCTCTGATTCCCATTGATGTTCATTTGGTCCACAGCCATTTTCCACTGGTTTAAAGTAATTTTCGTCAGGTTCACAGCGACGTTCCTCAGCTTTACAATAAAATTCCTGTATTTAAGACTGGCTCCTACCAATTTTACTTGAGATTAGACCTAAGTGATAGAACATCTCTCGCTTCTTTTCTCTCACTTTGGGACAATGTTCTCAAGGTTCTGGTTCTGGATCTCTTATCTGACTTTGGGACAATGCTCTCATAGTTCTGCCTCTAAAGCTCTCTGAGAGTGAATACTGTGAGGGTAGTTCTTGACTTTTAAAACAGAACCACCAAGATCATCTTGCAGCAGCAAACTGGGTCAGACGTCTCTGAGGGCAGCAGGAACAGAACCTGAAGCATTGAACAGAACCTGGAGCTGATTAAATGCAGCTGACTGCAGTTCTCTCCTCACATGATGCCATGTGCAGCATGCGGTCATTAATCAGCCAATCACATGCTGCAGAGGCATGCCTCTAATCAACCAATCAGAACCAGGCTCTGATAGCAGGACTGGGACAGAGATGCTGTCTGTTGGGTATCAGAACTGAGTGACAGCATCTCAGAACTGATTTTAATGTTTTAAATAACCAGGCCCGTATGGAGGTCATGTGACCACCATCTCAGGGTTTTGTTTCTGGATCTAAGGGCGCCTGTGCTGCTGACGTCGTGAATCGATGTCGATAATGAAGATCCCATTAACAGCTCTTGTTACTGAGATATGGGCGGACCCAGCAAGTCAAAGCTTGTTTACTAGGTAGGATGGTGTGGGCATCAGTACCAGAAACTACACTTGGTTTCAATAACACCAGTTCTCAATGTTTGTTTTGATCCATATTATATCTGAGGTGGTTCTAAGTCTTTAGCTGTGCTGTTTCTGAGCTTTTAATTGGATCTAAACCTAGACGCTACTTTTTTTTGGAACGCTGTTTAAGTCTAAGAGAGAGTTATGTTGATTCAGAATCCAATTTAACAACACTGGAGCTTTAAAATGAGTCTAAAGTGATTAAACAGGGAGGCATCAAGGTTCACTCTCGCTAGATCAAACTAGAAAAAGGTCTTTCTGAACAGAATGGCTCACAGTTTTAACAAACTGAACTTGATGTTTGGGTCTAAAAGGCCAATTTCTGTTTCAGCAGATATCATTTTCAGATGATTAACCAGCAAGAAATTTTTCTGAGGTCAACATGTTTCTGCGTTGATACAGAGATGAATTAAATCCAGTAATTTCTATTCTAATTCTAAAAATGGCAACAAGTTCTGATCAGACACTGGTCCAGAATATCTCATAGCCCATGTTCACAGACCTTTGCATCAACACTACACACTGCTTCTGGTCTCTTCACATAACAGAACTGTGGAAAATATATAATAATCATCAATAAGGTGGAACAGTGTAGAAAAAAAATTAATACAGATGAATTTGAACATTATTTCAAATCCTAACTATAAAATGCTCTAAATAAAGTTTGCTTGGACTAAAATTAAATATCTGGGTCATATCTGTGCAAACTCTCTGTCATGCAGGTCAAGGCAAACAAGAATAAAACTTTAATCAGAGGTGACAGGATTTTTTGATGTGTTTCTAAAAAAAACTTTTTGACACCTTTCCAGGAGTCTTTGTCAATTTTGACGGTTCATAAAAGAGCAAACTGTAGTTGGAGCATCAATGTTTTAAAGCCCATTCTATTCAGATTTCCATCAAACAACCACAGCAGAATTATATATGAGTTTTACATCTACAACTGTGTCCTGCACCTTTTTCCAAAGATACATGCAGTTTCAATAAGATTCAAAATCTGAAACTCATGCAGAGCAATGGGTGCAGTGGCGGTTCTAGACCAGATGTACCAGGGGGGCCAGTTTTCATTGGGGCCCAAAAAAACATGAAACTAAAAGACAGGGCAAGGGATTCAAATATATTAAGATAATTTTCAATTTAATTAGGTTTAATTAAGATTATGTCTCTTCAAACTGATAATACTTATTTTTGGTTCGAAAATGTTCATTTGGATTATTGTTAAAATAAAAATAAAAAATCCCTCAGCATAGCAAAAAAAGCAATTTAGCTCTATAAATTTTAGCTCTATAAATATCTAAAAGATCAAATAAAGCTATTATTTGGAATATTAGGTCAATATACATTCTTAATTTAGGAATTTTACATATTTTTAAATTGATTAAAGTTCAAATTACAGTTTTTTATCAAATCAGAATTAGAATTCAACAAAAACTGATAAATTCAGCTGTAAAAACTAGAGTATTTTTTTATTTGTATTAAAAAAAAACTTTTAGCAGATGAAAACTGGGATCCTATCTCAATCCCACTGAAGCTATCACCTTATTGTTTTTAAATAATTAATAAAACTGATTTCTTTTTTTAAAGAAAAAAAATGAAATAGATCCATTTCTGTTCCAGCGCAGATCATCAGTAGAGTTCCTTTAAATATTATGTCTTCGGAAAAGGGCCAGATCATGATCTACAGGGGCACTGGCCCCTGCCTAGAACCGCCCATGAATGGGTGGGTCATTGCACCCCTCTGTAACTGGGCCCCTGATGCTGTAATTTAAAAAAAGCAAGTATGCAGAAATTTAACGTTGCTTATATTGACTTATTTAGTTTTCCTGAAGAAGCTTAGGTTGAATAGTGATAATGAGAAGCTGTGTAATACACACATTGGGTCATTTCAGAAACTAGATCTAAAGGTTTATGTGTCATCTTATATTTCTGCAGGGCACTATGGTAACCGTTTTCTCGGTGAAAACACTGGTATGAGTCTTTTATAAATTTAAATTTTTTGTTCTATTTTTCTACGTTGTGCAGCCTGTTTTGCTGTTTGTGAAGCACAAGTCTAAATAAAAATCAATCAACCAAAGTCCACTTATATCCCTTTTATATCCATAAAAGAAGATTTTTAAGATGTCAATCATATCTGCTGTATTTTTCATAAAGGCAGCAGAGGTTCTGTTCTTCTCACATTCCAGACTGGTTCTGAAAGCAGAAAAAAATAATGCATTGATCTGCTCAGCAATGAATTCTAGTCTGCCTCTTTGGTTTCTCTGTGATCCTGTGACCAAATTTACCTTCAGCTCCTCTATTTGCCTCCACCTGTCCAATTTGGTTTTCTCCTCCCTTTTCCCCTCAAATTTTAAGGGGGGAAAAAAAGGGTTTAAAGTGCATAAAAAAATATTGATTATGATGCAGATAAGGTTCAAACGTGTTGATGCTTCTAACAAAATGATTCCATATTTGTTATATACATTTCTTAATCCATTCTAACTCTCATATTCGCTATTGATAATAGGACATTTGTTTCTTGTATCCACTCATCGCGGCTCCTTGAAGACAGCGTCCCCCCTAGCAACATGTGGATCAACCACACCTCCTCACTGAGGTCAAATATTCTCTCTTCCTCCTAAGAGGAGCTTAATCAGTGGAAAAACTAACAGGAAGGTTTAAGCTGAGGCTGAGAGACTCAGAGGAGTTTGATCATAAAAGATGAGGAACCATCTGAGGTGGTTAATTCCATCTAGACCAGATTATCAGGAGGTTTCACCCTGATAACGTTACTAAATTTCTTCAGTACAAATAACTTAAACACATGGAGACAGAGAGCTGAGCTGGAAAAGTTTTAATGAGAAAAACATACAAAAACCTGAAATCAACAACTGCTATTTACACTGCTGGGTCAGAACCAGCCACATCAGATTCCCAGCAGAGTTCTGGCTTCTTGACTCTGGGCCTGAAGAGTTTCACTTGCGTAACGCTGCAACAACTCCATCTTCTTCCTCCTGACCAGAGCCTCTTCCACCTGAGAGACAGACGAGGAGAATTAGAAAAGGTGTTTGGGTCAGAACCTGGGAACGCATGTTGGAACAGGAAGAGAACAGAGTCTCACCTCTTTCTGAGACGGAACCGGAACATGAGAGATGAAGCCGACTCCACCCTCCTCTGCCTCCATCCCCTCCTGGCTCTCATCATCCTCCACCTGACCGGGGGAAGAAAACAAACACAATTTTTTATTCCAAGACCAAAAGAAAGGGAGCAGAACCTCCTGTTACTTTACAGCTGGTGTCGTGAACAGAGAGCCACACAGGTGTGTTCTGTTGGCTGAGGTCAGCTGACAACTGCCATGCAGCTGATTGGCTGAGTAAAGCAGGAGGAGGCAGAGCTTACCTCCTCTGTAGGAACGCTGTAGATGCTCTCCTCTTCCTCCTCCTCTTGCTGCTGCAGGCGAGACTCCTTCTCTGCCTTCCATTTCTGCACGGCCTCCAACACAGCTGCACACGCAAAACCATTAATCACATCCAAGAAGTGACAAATCCCAGCCCCCCCCCCTCCTTTTTTGGATGTAGACTCACCTTCCTTCTCATACTGCGCTTCCAGAGGAAGCAAGACGCCATCATCTTCGTCTCTGTAGCCGTAGTACTCTGCATCCACCTCCTTCATTAGCTCCCCTCTTGTCTTCCTCGGTGCCGGCGTAGCTGTGGGTCACACTACCAGTCAGCAGCGATCATCTGAGTTAGCATGTGACCAGAAAGTGATGGCGGTACGTACGTTCCTTCTCGAACAGCTCTCTGACTCCAGGCAGATCTCTAGCTGCTCCAAAGTACTTATAGCCTCGGTTCCCCGGAACTTCTTTCCCTTCATGGTCCAGCATCCTCGGACCAAAACGCTAAAAAAAAAAAAAAAACACACAACGCCAACCAATCACTAAACACCATCCATACATTATCCCTCTATAAGATTTATTGGACAGATCTCCATGGTAACTGGCAGATTAGTTATTTGTTACCAGGTAGTCAGGTCCTCCGAGCTCTCTGATCCGATACTCCCAGTGACCTTTCTCCCTAAGCAGCTTATTGATCTCATCGTTCAGATCCCGGATCCTGAACTCCCCGAGACCAGCTGGAAAAACAGGTCAGAGATATCGGGACGGGTCAGACATGGAGAGAGCAGCAGGTCATAAAAGTTAGCCAGGTCTAAACTCACCGTTCTGGATCTGTGCGACCTTCTTTGAGATCTCACTGATGATCTGAAACAGAAAGCATTATTTTCCAGCTACTCAGCACTACAGAGCACTTTATGGTACAAGACAGAAATGCGGAGTACAACAGGGTACTACAGTGTACTTAAGGATGCTACCTGTCGTCTCCACTTTTCAGCTTTAGGAAGCTCGCTGCATTCTGAGGCCAGAAATGGTCTCCTCTCCTGTAGACAGGTGGGTCAAAGACACAGTTAGGTTCACATCAAGACTAAAGGGTGAGAAAAAAAATATAAAGAAACCAAGCAGACCTTGACTTTCCCCTCCTCCAGCTGAGCCTGCCGGAATCGGGCCAGAGCGGTCCTGAAAGACAAAGCAGAGGGAGACAGTAACACATGTGAAGCAGAGAGGTTAAAACAGAATATCAGAAAGGATTTTCAGAACAGATGTTTAAACACAGAGCTGGTCCTCCAGAAGCTCATTAAATGTTCTAAACTGTTCCTTTGAGTGTTCCTTGAGTTCCCTATCTGATTTCATTTCATAAAAGTCTTTGTTGTCAGAATCAGCTGCTGTTAGATCTGACAGAAACTTGAGCAGGAAGACCTGAGGTGGATCAGACTAGAACAGATACTCACATGGCCTTTTCAGCGTTTCTCGCCTGAAGACAGAAGCAGAAAACTCTGATTAACACACATCATCAATACATCAGATCGGATTAGATCAGTTTGATCGGCTGAAGTAGCAAACGGTTCAAGATTAACTCGGAACCCAAGTTGTTTTTCGCAGAGTAGTGACTCCACGGCACCGACTATGATCTAATATCTGCTGTTTTTGTGCAAATCGATTCTCTGGACCCAAACCGGATCATATCTAAACGATAAATGGACCCGTCCGGAACCAAGATGATTTCTGAGAGTCTCACCATGTTTGCAGCTCTGCTCCAACGATGTGAGAGAAGAAAAAACACCACACACTGCAACGCGGAGGACTTTTACATGGAACACAGTCACTACTTCCGTTTCCGGTACTACTCGAAATGCAGTCCCCTTAAAATAAAAGGTTCCTCTTCACATTATCTGAGCGGATGAGGAAAGTAATTATGGAAAAAGGGAGAGAACGGAGTATTTAAGGAATTTTATGGACAGATGGAGATAGGGAGGAAAATTTGGTTATTAATAAAGCATTGTTATTATTTTCACATGACACAAAAATAAAAAGGTGGAACTATAGAAATACACACTCATGTACAGCAGGTGGCGTTATGCACCTGTAAGCTGTTTGCAATCCTCCAATTTAACAAAGAAGAAGAAAAAGAACACAGAGCCCAGTTTAGAAATGTTTTTCATTTTGTTTTGATTGTTGATTGCTCAGTTCCTTAGAAAAACAAGTAAACAAATAAGCAGATAAGGCAATACACAAGATTGCAAACAACAACAAAATGATCACTGGGGTAAAAAAACACAATTAGTAAAAAAAATGTTCTTGAATCTTTCCAGTTATTTGAAGGAATTATTTGATTAAGAGGCAACCACCACAAAAATCCTAAAGATGATCATAATAAATAGAGGGAATGTACAATCTTTCATAAAGAGATAAGAATTAAAAGTTATCTTTAGGCATTTTTCATGATTCGTATTCATATAAAGGATGAGCAGAGTACTTCAAAGCCAATAACAAACAAATAATAGGAAAATATATGTTATTTTGTGGATTTGTGTACAGATGGGAGGGTTACATTACTATGTAGTCATTACATAGTAATGAAAGTAGTGTTCACTTTTCCAAACAAAGTATTTTTGTTTTGAAATAGAAGTACCTAGACCTTTCTCTATAGTAGTAGAAAGGTTACACGTGGAAATAGATTATTAAAGGGCATATTAGAGGTTTTTAGGTTTAGCTTTTAGTCTTCTGAAGTTAGGGTCGTTGTCAGCAGACTTGGAAAAAGAACCCACCAGTACTGTATGGTAAGGGGAAGCAGAGTTTACTTTGCCACCAAACGGAATTATTTCCTGTTTTTTATGAAGGTTATCATAAAATACAACAAAAAATGTAATCTTTTGCACATTTATAGAACAAATGTTATTTAAAAACAGTAATCCACAATTAAATAGAGTAGAAATAATAATAATAACAATATGAATAATAATTTAACTTGATTGATCTCACATTATCTCTGCATTTAATTCAATATGATCATAATTCATAATCAACTCATGGAAATACAATGCGGAAGAAGATGCAAGAGAGGATGGATGGATGGATGGATGGATGGATGGATGGATGGATGGATGGATGGATGGATGGATGGATGGATGGATGGATGGATGGAATCACAATGTCACTGTTCCTTATAGGCAGGGTTTCGAAGAAGACCTATCACTTCAGAGGTGGAATGAAGGTCGTCTTTTTGATCGATTACACCTTTTTCACCTTCAGACACTCCTGATTCACCTGCTGAAGCTCTGAACAGAGGATCTGGATCAGCTTCTCTTCATGTAACCTGGAAGATGCAAAGGAAAGTGGACAAATAGAAAACTCCATCTGGGAACAGAACCAGTAGCTGAACCATCATTAGAATCACAGTCTGATTAGTTCAGAGCTGACATTACTTAAAAACTATTTACTGGTCATACCAAGAACCTGTGTTTTGACACAGATTAGCTTTAATTGGACCACAATGACACCGTGAGCTCAATAAGGGGTCAGAGGGTAGGAGGGGAAATTTTATATTAGACTTCGAGACTTAGACAACTTTATTGATGCATTCTTCTATTGCTAATTGGATAATAAATCTTGTGGATCTTAAAGATTCTTTTAGAAAAACAATGGACTAGACTGACAGATTAAAGCCGTCAGGTTCCCACCAGAGGCGACAGTATTATTGCCCAGATGATGATCAGAGAGAGGCATTCTGCTTTTAGAATAAACCTTCAGATTGTTTATGGCTGACCGATTACTGAGATAAAGGCAGCCAAAGGTTAACTGCTAGTCTGTAGGAAGCAGGAAGTTACAGTCAGAGGGAGTTCCTGCTCAGATCAAAACGCTAACTGACATTTCAAGCATGAAAACCATAGATTCTGTAGGAAGAAGAGGCTGGTTTTAAAATACAGATTGACTGACCAGTTCCAGGTGTTGTGCACCAGAACAACAGGTACGTGAAGAACTGTAGATAAAGCGTTATCCAAAGGTGATGAAAAAACTCTGGAGGAATTTTTGCTACTTGATATCCAGTGACTTTTTGCAGAAACACCAGAGTCAGGATAAGTGCCAGGTTTTGTCCAAAAAAAGTAAAATTGACTTTGGTAAATAAAGATTTAAAAAAAACAAAACAAAAGCAGAACAAGAGTGAGCAAGAGTTTTATTGTCAGAGGTGGATTTAGGAAATTTGGGGCCCCGGGCGAAGGCAGGCATGGGGCTCTCTGGTTTATGTCAGGCTAAGCCGGCTTGTGGTCTCTCTAGATTATAAAATCTAGCATCATTGCTGCGCTGTTGCGTAGCTGCCCTTGCAGCCACAGCCAGATCATGACTGCCACTCCACTCACTTAAAAAAATAAATGATGGAAGAAGATGATGCGAAGAAAAAAAGTTGTGCAATCCAAACTTCAGCTTTTTGGCATCAGAAAAAAAAACTGAAAAACGTATTATTTTAGTTGTTGCTCAATTTCACAATACAACTTTTTTTTTGACAATATTTGCTTTTATTCTTATAAGCTTCTTTGCTTAACATTCATAACGTAAATACAGTTTGATTTTTATGATTAGGGTTTTAATTGTTAAAAAAAAGTATTTAGCTTAAAATTATGATTCTATTTTATCCGTTGTTCGATCAGATTAAAAGCTTCCCCAAACCAAAGTGAGTTTCTACCCCTGGCTGCTCCTGACTGAAGTTCTTCCAGCAGTAAAACATGTTTTGCCAGTTCACACAACAGATCTTAACTGATCCCAATTAGAGAGTCTAACTGAATGAAACAACTGTCTGCAGGTAATAACAGCATGAAACTGTTCTGAAGCTCCAAGGCAGAACCTGTGCTCCATCAGCTGATGTTCCTCCTAATTCCTCACGGTTCTTCCAGTTCTACAACAGCCGGTTATCTAGGCAATTATGCTGGGAAGAACAGGAAACCCTATCAGACGATGCTGGTTGGAGATCCAGCAATTCCGCTTATTGTCATCCCCTCCTCCTCCATCTGAACTGTCGAGACTGGATTACCCAGCAGGCAGCAGGAGCAGAAGGTACCAGGCAGGACAGGAGGCGGGGCAGCTAAGCTTAGCTCAAGTCAACAGAATATTAAAGGTGAGAAAGCTGCCACATTCAGAGACTCTCCTGCAGACTCTTTCATCTTCGTCATCTCTCACAGGCCAACGAACACAGCCATACCCTCCCCAGAGGCCACGCCTCCCATGGAGTCCTTGGTTTCCATAGCAACACACTTCCATCCAACCACCCCAGTGAGGATCATAGGAGCAGCGCCACCTGTCTGCTAGGGAGGGGCGGGGTCCTGTTTGGTGTGTTTGATGGTCACGCAGGTCCGTCATGTGCTCAGGCCATCAGCCAAAGACTCTTCTACTACATCACTGTGGCCATGCTGCCGCTGAGGATGCTGCAGGAACTGGACCGCGCAGTGGAGGAGGAAAGAGCGGTACCACCCCTACTGGAGTGGCACAAACACCCCCAGGATCACAGCTTCTACGATGGGGGCTCCCTCTCCTTCCACAGCCTCCGGAACTACTGGCAGGAGAGGCTGGATGGGGAGGAAAAGGAGGACGACAAGGAGGTAACTTGGTAACATCAACAGCAGAGAGTTGGACCTGTTTTTTTCTGGTTCATCTTTATATAGCAAGAACTGGTTGTTGGTCAGGGTGAGAGATGGTCCTGGAAAAGTGAAAACTGTGCAAAAACAAGCTGAAATTTGACTCAGTTTTAATGAATCAGGAAAGGGGATAGATAATGAAGGACATTTTTTTTTAGCATGCATTACCAATATGTAAAGACATTATCTAGACTGGCTCCCTCTCACAGCCGTGATGTTTGACCTGCCCCTACTGTATGAATGGTGAAGATTACCTTATGCTCTCAACACAGGTTTTATACAACCTATTCAATTTGTGGTTGGCAAACAATGGTTAGTCCTGACATTAACTCTACATAACGGCATCTGATCAAATATATTTATTCTCTCTACAGCTCTATGCCCAGTTGCTCCCATCTCACCCATAATGTCCGTCCCGGTTGACTGATATTTCACCTGGAGATTTAATAAATGTAATTTTCTCCAGTTTTAAGAAAGTACTTGCTCCAATGAGCATTCCAGTTTTATATGGAGGTTAATACATCCCTAGCACAGGGATATGTCCTATAGGTGTTTAAGGTATCTGTATGAAATCCTTTACCTTAGAAACATTTTCTTGATTAAGATGATAAATAATTTACAGACCTAGATCTAATCTTCATTTTTTTTTAGCATTCTTCAGAATATACAGT